TGTCGTAATTCGCCAAGTGCAAATCAGCAAATTCGTAAAATTTTTGTTTATTTTGAACAATCCGGATAATCGAAAATCCGGATAATGGAGGTCCAGATAATGGAGGTTCTACTGTATTTTGATACGTTGATTATATTAGTCATGGCAGATAATTTTAGTGTTAGAATCACTGATTTGTCTGACATAATTATTATGTCATATAATATATTATTATGTTATAAATCAGTTCTCACATTTTAAACCTTTAGAAATTTTAATGACATTACTTCTAATTACTGAGGCCAGATCCTTGCAGACCAAGCAACTATCAAAACTTTTTCATCTTACGTGACAAAATTTCAAACTGTTTTTCTGGTGACTTACCTTTCAATTGTTTTATTAAAATATTGATTTATTGAATGTGCTTTTTTCCAGATCCTGCAAAATATTTAATGTAATTTTTGTCAATATTGCATTCTATTCATAAAATAAAAGATACTAATCCAAACTATTGCCATAAGTAATCAGGCTATTATTATGCTATAATTAATAATTAGAAACTAAGTAATTTGGTACTAGAGGTAGACATTAAGTACCATCTCTTATCTAAATTAATAACTATAATAATTTAATAACTTAGAACAGTCTGGAAGAAAAGAACTAGTCCAGAGTGAGACTTGAACCCACAACATCTGCTTACTATGTGATGCACTTGACAGTTAAGTTATTTAATAAATTATTATAGTTATTAATATAGATAAGAGATGGCACCTAACTTCTACCTCTAATACCAAATTACTTAGTTTCTAATTATTAATTATAGCATAATAATAGCCTGATTACTTATGGCAATAGTTTGGATTAGTATCTTTTATTTTATGAATAGAATGCAATATTGACAAAAATTACATTAAATATTTTGCAGGATCTGGAAAAAAGCACATTCAATAAATCAATATTTTAATAAAACAATTGAAAGGTAAGTCACCAGAAAAACAGTTTGAAATTTTGTCACGTAAGATGAAAAAGTTTTGATAGTTGCTTGGTCTGCAAGGATCTGGCCTCAGTAATTAGAAGTAATGTCATTAAAATTTCTAAAGGTTTAAAATGTGAGAACTGATTTATAACATAATAATATATTATATGACATAATAATTATGTCAGACAAATCAGTGATTCTAACACTAAAATTATCTGCCATGACTAATATAATCAACGTATCAAAATACAGTAGAACCTCCATTATCTGGACCTCCATTATCCGGATTTTCGATTATCCGGATTGTTCAAAATAAACAAAAATTTTACGAATTTGCTGATTTGCACTTGGCGAATTACGAAACTGTTTATGTACGTGATGGAATGCATAACTTTTTTTGTTTTAACAACGTCTCACCCATCACAGTGGTCGTAAACTCTTAAATATATTTTATGTAGTGATAAAAATATAACCTGACATACGTATTTATAAATAATTTATATTCAAATTACATCATTTCTATGACCAAGGGCTGGACGACGTGGGCCACCGCCTATGCCTCGCGGTCCGAAGGGCCTCGCGCCTCGAAGGTTTATGCATTATTTAAAAGCCGTGAACGTGACGAAAAAATTTTACTCGTAAAATGATAAATAGTTTGTCAAATTTTTATTCATAAAAATGCAGTTTCAACTGCTTTTTATTTTATAAAATCCGTCTTCTTGCGCCACCAGAGGGCCTTTTAAACAATAGGTAGTCTGTTAGCGTTGGTCAGTAGTAGTCCAAATTCAATACGAACGTTTGTTTCTTGAAAATTTGACCACGATTTAAATACAGTATTTACTTTCAATATTACCGATATGTCATCGAAAAGAAAACGTGTTGTATTACCATCAAAAGACAAATTAAAGTATTTGTTTCGATTATCCGGATTTTTCCTTATCCAGACTACCTTCATCCCCAATTAGTCCGGATAATCGAGGTTCTACTGTACTTGAAAAGAAAGAATAAATAATTACCTTTTTCTCCATATGGAGAAATATACACAACAAAGAATAGCTATTGATAACTTTTTATTGAACGCTTCCTAATTAATAGTTTTTCTACTTCATTTTTTGATTTAATAGAAAATAAATTATAAAAATAAATAATTATAATATTTAAAATATTAATAAAATCTTTGCTTTGGTTTTCACACATCATTTTTACTATTTATTTAAAATAAACAAATAATATGCACTAAAGCATAAACTTTAGTGTATTGATCACAAGTTAATCTATCTAAAAAAATCAAGATATAAACAGAAAACATTTTTCTATCTTGGTTGTGATTTCTTTCTTTTGGAATATTTATGATATATATATTTGTATTTTTTTATTATAAAATAAAACTTACTAAAATAAATATTCAATTTTTACAACTTTTTTACCAAAATATTTTTAAGATTTAGTTACGGAAATCCTACATAACAGAATTCATACTTTAGTTTTTCTTCTTTATTTACAATTTTCTTTCAGTCAAATTACACAAAAATCATTTCTGGATTGAAGAGATGTTCAGATTTTTAAAATATTTTATCATTTGTTATTTTTTTGTAGTTATTAGAAATATAACTTCTAAACATTACAAGATTTCTTTTGCTTGCTCATAATTTTAAAAACTCAAGACAACAAGTTTTTAAGAAGAAATTTCATATTTTATTCCTCTAAACAAGAAAAAGTAGTTCCCATTTAATCGAATGTTAAAAAAAATTACTTTAAACAAAATCAAACTTTTATGTAATATATGATAAAAAAAGTATTACCTTATCTCCATTTATTAATTGAGCTTGTATTTTATTTATTTCTTTCCAAGTATCACAAAGTGTCCTTGTTTCCTTAGCTATACACATTGCCCATTTTTTTGCTTCTTTACTTAAACATAATCCAGCATTATGTTCAGTTGATATTTTGTCTATCTAAATATAATTATGACACGTTATTATCATATAAACTCTGCTTAAATTTAAATATAATTATTTTATAAATACATTAATTAGAACTAGTATATTAATATATTATAGGCTAGTAAATGATTTTGATTTCATTCATTATACATTGAATTCAATTTGAATGGGATTTCAATATTGTCATGAAGAAAAAAGAACAAAGATGGCGATTTCTTCACACATGGTTTAGTTTAACAAATATGACTCAAAAATTATATATAAAAATACAATTTTCAGAAATAAGTACAAAAACACTAAAAGAAACATTCAAACTCTCAGTCCAGAAATCAAATATTGACATGAGCTGTTCTTGAACAACATGCTGAATTTTAGAATGCATAAGTTCATGGTAACACTAAGACAAATCCACACTATTCATACATTTTTCTATAACACTTCAAAACAATATACTATAGATTATTCACCATTCATTCTGGTTTACAGTCATTGCACTATAATTCCTTACAAAACCAATGGCTCTTGAAAATTTTGAGGATTATTATGTTCAGAAAAAAGCATACAAACTGTAAGGAAGGAGGAATCATAGAAGTACACTTTGATGGTTCAGCATTACAACAAGGATGATATGATACTTGTAATTGTCAGGTTAATTACCAACCAAACAAATTAGTGTAGATATACATTCCCATAAATAAAAAACTAAATTACAAATTTAATTTAGTTTTTTATTTATGGGAATGTATATCTGTATATTAATTTGAAATGCTGGAGTTAGAGTCAACACATTTTTCCCAACTCCAACTCCTCTGGCCAGAAATTCCTCTTGACTCTGATGCCACAGCCCCGATTCCAATGTTACTTATAAGGTAGAAGCTCTCTCTTCCAACAAAAGATCACAAGTATGATAATAAACTATTCATGTCATCCACATGAAATCTTATATTCCCTTTCACAACTGGAATTTGATGTCCCTAGCAGTGACATCGTAAGTAAGGAAAAGTGCCACCATACTTATGCTTTCTAAAATTCAGCATGTTGTTCAAGAACAGCTTGTGTCAATATTTGATTTCTGGACTGAGATTCTTTTAGTGTTTCTGTATTTATTCCTAAATGTTGTCACCTTTTTTTTGTTTAATTTTTGAGTTACCTTTTTTTAAAACTGTATGTGAAGAATCCACCATCTTTATTCATTTTTTTCATGATAATATTAAAAACCATTCAGGTTGAATCTGATGTTCAATGATGCCAATGTAAATGATGCTTTTGCATTGGTCAATACTTAAATTTTTTGCCTGCCATCATAGTAAAAGCTGAGCTTGACTTGATTTGTAAAAATAACTTTTTCCTGTTGCACTCTGATGTTACAACAACAACTATTTTATAGCTTTACCACTTACTACAGTGGATTTTGTTGTAGTAAGAGTCCAGCTTTAATGGTCAAAAAGACAAATAATAGTAAAATGTGTTTAAAAATAAAAATATCAAAAGTTGTTTAATTGTCTTTTTATCTATTTTTTCATCATTTTAAATAATCCTTCTACAAATACCAAATCAAAATCACAAATATATGAAATGTGTGAAAAAGAACTTTTATGGTATCCTTTAAAACAATTAAATGTTTTAATTTGTAAAGAAATAGATATAAAATTTTCAGGTCTACAATAACAGCATTTTAAAAGGTNGCTGCAATCTTTGGCTATGTCTTGGGTTACTCAAATATTTTACGTTTTTGATACTAAATTAACTTCTGACGTATAATTTTCTATTGTTTTTATATTTTTCAATATATTTATTTTGTTTGTACATAATAAAGAAATAATTTTTAACGATACAATAGTCATGATTATTATTTTAAAAAGTTTATGTTAGGCTTAACATCGACGAAAATTCAACGCGAAGCAACATGCAACAGAGAAAAATTTCAACATGGGATAGGTTAATATATTTTTTCATACATAATCAGTTATCCGAAATATCGATTTTCTGAACAACCCCAGTCCCCAATTGATTTGGATAATCGATGCTCTACTGTATTCAATATATTCATCATACAATATAAAAGCTTTTTTTCTTTGTAGAATCTATATTAATTAGATCACATAATACTTTTAATACTTTAATGCTGATCCTTTCACAAGGATGGAAGAATGCAATTACTTCTACAAATTTTAAATAATTTTATTTGTAAGAAAATATTTTAAGCATTTTCTAAATAATTTATTTAATTATAACTTATTTATAATTTTAAATATATTTGGGCATGTACAAAGCTTTGATTTTAGTTTTGATCTTTAACTGAAAATAGTTGGAATACATAATAAGCAGAAGTAAACTTTTTAAGTAAATCTCTATACAGGTAGCCCTCAGTTTACGCCAGTTCACAATAATGCCACTGCGCAATTCGCCGTTTCGAGGTGTAGGCCTAATTCCCCGATTTTCCCTATGCTAGACTGATTTTCATTTCAGTGTTGACGTATTTACTGAGCCGCGATATTGTACATTCGTTAAAACAAAGATTTTTATTAAATATATTTATTTTTTTGTTTAATACTATTGGGTACGTATACATTTGCATTAAATTAATATTAAAATACTAAATGTTTAGGTACCCATTAAACTTAATAGTCCAATAAATGGCGTCCTAATCCATAGTGCCAATGAATGTATCCCGTATCAGTTCATTCAGGAAAACACCTTACAATGCAATAGCACTTCCGGCGATCACAAATTATCGTTAGTGAGACAAATCTACTTCTCGTTGGCCAGACGATATTTATCTCTCCTTAGCCACCTTAAATTTTCCCACTCAAACTGACCTTATATATGCGCTATGGCGACCGGTGGTCGACCGATCAGTGTCTTCGCTCGTCTGTAGTTCTACGTTGGGTTAACGTATCCTTTCAAGTACGGAAAGTTTGACGGATGAAGTTTGTGAGTTAGACAATGTTGGGAGCAAAGTGCAAATGTAAAAAGAAGCATCACCACATCCATTTGACCATATTCCGAAATTCTCAATAAAAGAAATAAAAAATGTAAACAATTAAAGATGGATACTTTTTCCGAAAAATGTAAGAAATTCGAAACTAAAATTTTTAAATAAAAACATTTTACTTTATTTTATGATAAAATACATTTTAAAAATTAAAAATTTATATGTATTTTGTATTATATTGTATTAATAAACAAAATTATTAGCTTATTTTTCACTTATGTAGAACCTAACCCTATACCTCACTGTAAATA